ATGCATCTCCCGGTCTCCCCTCTTCATCCATCTTCATCCTTGATGCATGAGCTTTGGAGAGGCAGAGGACCTCCCAGGGGATCCTGATGGTGCAAGGAGCATCTCCACCATCTGCAGCCATACACTCAGCATCACATTAAGAAAAAAGCCACTATGTTCCTCCTCTCTATACATCCCACCATGCCTGCCCAAAGACATAAGAGGATCTTCTACTTCTTCCTTCCACTACGCCAGATTCCTTCCTGATATTTATTCTCCTGGTTGTGCTCCCAAGGTTGCTCCATGGTGCTCCCCTGCTACTGTACCTCATGAATTCTCTTCTGCAGCCCACTCTTGAGGTGGGACAGTGACTTCGGCTGCTTGCACCAAAGTCCATTTCTAGCTCACACTACCACTGTAATAGATGTGCCATCCTTTAGACGAGCCATCCAGCCTCAACTCTCTTAGCAGTTCCGTTTAACAGAGCATAAAATGATGGCAAAACCAGTGCATCTTAAGAGGGAAAATAAGAGACTACTTGACAGCTCTTCAAATTTGAGTAAAATTGTGGGCGGCACATCAGCCGCCAAGCTCTAGTCATCTTAACAGCAAAGAGAAGACTGAAAAAAACACCGTGTGTGAGAATTTCAGGAGAAAAGAAAGATTCAGAGCTTTCCACAGACAGACATCTGAAAGCCAGCTAGGTCGTAAAACAGTCAAAATATGTATTTCTTAGCTCACTCAGTTTTAACTCTTTCCTGAACATGTTCTTATGGCCAGTTTTGGGCACAGCAGAGGAAGGTGAGCTGATTTGCACAGTTCTTGGTAGATGTTGTTTGGATATTGCCATTCTTGCTAGACATGATTTTTTTCTCACCTCATCTCTAACATAGTTTGCTGATCACATGTTTGATCTGGTGTTTGTTGGCCTGGAGAACACCAGTGAAACCAAGGTGGGGTAATGGTGGTCTCTGAAGTCAGAGGCGGTCCAGCAATGGTAAGACAGTCAAGCTCTGTCCTCCTGCGAACACTCTTTGGACTGTCTTTCAAGCCTCAGAAAATTGGGGCATCCTGAAGATTGGTCATGTCCAGATCTTGTGGATGTGGACTCTTCAATCCAACTCTCTTGGCTTTCCAAGTCTTGGTCTGCCCTTCCATCTTACCTGGGGCAGTCTCCTCCATTTTGTAAAGAGAAAGGATTCAGAGGACGCTGGACTGGGTGGCCTCCTGACCTGCACTGCTATGGCTATTCGTACATAAGGGATGACTTCTTATGAAGAGTAGATGTTTATCTACCTCATACAAATAATTTTCTTTTCCTCTTTCTCTGCTATCCCACTGGTTTGCTTTCTCCATGCTTCAAGTGCTTTGCAAGAGTTGTTTATTTCGTGTCAAGACCCTTTTTGCAGGTTTAGTCATCTGAAACAATCTTAGGACATACGCTTCACCAAAGCAACCTCAATTTTCAACTCTCTTTTCAAAAGCCTCACTTTGCCGCACTCTTTTAGCTCTGCTCCCACTCCTATCCCCTATGATCTTATCCCAAGATGCCCTTTGGGAAACATTTTATGTGAAACCACAATCTTTCAAAGATAAAGTCATTTAATAACACTTCACTTTTTTATATATGTGCTTTCCTGTCACCGATAAATGACTTTGGTGAAAAGCAAAACATTCTCCCTTAAAATAATCATTCTGCTTGCACCGATTTCAGCATGTGTAGCCATCAAACCCAGGGTTCACTGCTGTAATTCCCCAGAGAGATGAGTGCGCAAACGCTTGTTTCTTAGATATAATCAACTCTACCACACTTCGTCAGATCAAACCCTTCCACCTAGGCCATTTGGGCCTCAGTTAAAAACACAGGCTAGGCTAAAGATCCAACATTAAAGGCAAAAAAGGAAATTTTATTTTCAGCAAAATTACAATTTGTGACATTAGCATCAAATTTAAGCTTAGAGTTTGGGCTAACAAGGATATCTTGGGTTTAATTTCCCTTCTTTTTTGATGTCTATTACCAGAGTTTTATTTAGAAGGATTCCAGATTGTGTGTGTGTATGTGTATGACTTCCCTTAAGCTTCCTATTCTGAAGCTAGCTCCTTCCTCTAAGGCTGCACACAACATTTATCTTTTGTTCTGCTGATCCATTCCAGGATCTTGGATGAAGTAGAGTTTACACAATGCACCGGAAATTTAGGCAGCTTTTTATGCAATATTTAGAAAGATTTTGTTAAAAAATATACAATATTTACTCTTCCAAGTCAGTCTGGTCTTCTGTGGAGAGTGGATATTCACCCTCCTCCACCAAACTTTTATGATTTAGCAGGAAACAATTCCAACTGCTTCAGGGCAAAGCTTTTTCAAGCTCATTTCCCTAACAAATGCAGTCTTTTTATAAATAATTGTCTCTTTGAGTAAAATACTCTGATCTTGCTTAAACGGATTCATTTTAATTAGAGGCCCAAGAAAAGAAAAATATTATAACATAACAGTGAAGAAAACCAAAATACAATGAGTTTTATACTCTGAAAAAGAGGATATTTCCTTGCTGCATATTCCAAAGTACTGTAGTTGACTTATAAATCAAAAGAGTTGATTCAAATTCTACAAGCCTACATGAACTATGTACTACTGTAGGTTGTCCCATGTGGACCGCGATGACTTAGCTGGGTACCAGAATCTCTTGGACCATTTTGTTTTCTTCTCCACTTCCCAGGTCAAGGAAGCAGCCTGGATTATTTCTTAAATTAACGGATGGAAAATTTTGGGGTGACCTAAGACACATTTGGTTTTCTTTCTGAATGGGATACACATAAATGTCATATGAGCATAGGGCTGGAGACACCCCACTGGCATTCATGAACCTCACTGAAGCTGATAATTCCACCAACCTCTTTCATTGAGGCTAAAGAGCATATGAACAACCCTTGGGTGGGAAGAAAACACCAGAAGCCACCATCAAAAACTGGGAGAAGAAGCCATGCTAAGCAACGGCGCCAAGTCCTTGGAGCAAGCCAGGACACAACCTTCTGCCACGGTATCTGTTGGGTGTGTAGACTTGGACTTCTCAAATAAGCAACGTACTTCTGCTCTTTTCCTTGTGGTATGCAGAAGAAAGGGCTGAGATACGCGTTCTCCGGACACAAAAGGATGAAGCTAAGAAACAAGAGCTGACCTGCGTCCTCAACACATTCCTTCGAAGGAAGTATCTGGCAGGACCAGAAATATTGGCCAAAGGGGTAATGATTCTTCCAACGAATTTGTGGAACCAAGGTGATCCCTAGGATCAGTCTGCCGCTACTTTCAGCAAGATGAATGGAAAAAGATGAACACCTCATTTTGTTCCCAACAGCTACATTTTTATTATACTGCATTGGTAGGTGAAACGAAGCTATTGGAAGGGTGACTCCTGTTTGTGACCAACGACAGGGTTATGAAGTATAAAGAGAAAACCAGCACACGGCCTTTTCTATGAACAGGTTCGACTTATGTCTTTATAAGAAAACTCTATTATGTTTGATTTCTTAACAGGAACATTTTCTTTCACTTATTACTAAGGGGGAAAAAATAACACACAAAGAGGAGACTCAACAATTGATACACTCCCCTGATTTTTTATTTAAGGTATCTTTTTTAAAAGCATCCAGCAGGGAAGCCTCCACATTTAATATGTTGTTAACATGAAAAATTAAATTTATATTGCATTTTAGATAGCTATTGATGTACAGAGAAAAAAAAAACAGGAAGCAAGGGGAAAATGCTGTTTTATAATGAAAACCATGCAACTAGCCTGGCTCGCACTACGATTGTGGCCCAGGAAGAAACATATGCCAAACTGATGCTACACAATAGAAATAAAGAGATATCTCCTTGATGTTACTATTTCTAAGGAGTATTCATAAGACACTGGGCATGTTGCAATGGGCTGTGACCAAGAAGCTCATGCATCGGGTGGGAAAACTATTCTCCATTTCTTCCTCACACTGTTGGCCTTAAAATTACAGATGGGCAGCCTACACGCAACCTGCATCCAAATTAATCTTGACAATCTCCGAGAAAATCTTTATTAAAGCTCAAAGCTTAAGAGCTTAACATGGGCAGAGCTTTGGCTTTGAACAAGCACCACAGGCCCTTGCCCCCATACCTGATCTTGTATATTCATTTCTTGGTCTAATCCACCACTGGGCAAGGAAGGTCCCTGCTTGCTACCATGGAAATGCATGATTTTTGGGGGGTGCTGTCAGCACAGCGTTTGGTTTTCTGATTTTTTTTCTGTTTTTGAGGCAATTTGCATCAACACAATGGGGTAATAAATATTATTATGACTGCATTCACTACACTGCATTATTTCTGCTAGCGTGGGTCTGATTCTTTGGTGCTATGGTAGGCTTGAGATATTAGAACATCACTCAGAGCTTCGGGAAGGAAGCTTCATTATAATTTGAGATGTCAGCGTTAACTGAACAGTATTCGAGAGATTAAACTCAGATTTAAGGAACGAGGGACTTCACAGGTCTCTTGAGAGCCATCCAGCCCTTATCGTGTAGAAACCTAGAGCTTTGGCTTCACGAGAAGCCTGCACTTGGTCTCTGCTTGCAAGTGCAAAAATACACCCACAGACTTGCTTCTAGGTCACTATTTAAATGAGATTTTCTCTCTAGGGAGTTCTTTTTTTGATGGGAGTTCTTTTTTACTTCTGCGATAAGGCAAGCTTTGAAATAATTCTATTATTTTTTTCTTGCTTTTCTATGCAGCTCATGGTTTGATACCCTTAGGGCCCTCTCCTCCCTTTTGCAAACAAATAACTTGCAATGGGAACAGGATTCAGCAGCAGCCAAACTGCTCCCGCTCGCCCTCCGCGCTGCGGGGCACAGCATACAGAGGCTTAAACAGCAAAGCAAAAGTGATGGAAAGCAAGCAAGCAAACACCACACCCGCAAAAAAAGAGCAAAACTGCAAGAGAGCAGTTTTTACGGTATAATTATTATTACTTTTTTAATAAAGTAAACCAGTGTCCTACCTTTTTAAAAATTCCATATACTCAGTATGCTTGATAAGGCCTGTCCTCATCATTATTGTTTGAAAACATTGCCGATCAATAGCCCAAAGTTTCACATTTACGAGAGCTGGAGGAAAAAAAAAAAGAAAAAAAAAGAAAAAGAAAGAAGACAAGGGTAAAATTCAATTAGCAAATATCAAAACTCGATGCAAAAAACCATTGCGAGCTGCGGAAGGTGTCAGAAGAAAGCGTGAAAACAGGGACACCCACCTCAAAACCTCGATGGAAATTTCATCGGCCAGATAATGGCCTAAACGTGTATGAAATGGCCTCAAAACAGGCAGCCAACTTTATCCTAAATTTTAGCTCTAGCGCCTGGGCTTGGCAAATATATTGCCCAAGAGCCACCGTGGCACAAGATGTTAAAGGAGTCCCAGCAGGTTGCTCTCATGGACTTTGGGTTCAAGAACTGTTATACCCCAATAATTGAGTATGCACTGATTTTTATCCCCCCCAACTTTGGTTTCCACATCTCTGCTGCACCCTATATGCGATGCATATATATGGATGTGCATATATGGACCGTACATTTTAAAAGCAAAAGCAGCACCCCAAGTGTGCAAAAGCAAACCTAACAACGTAACAGCTCAATATTGCATAAAAATGAGGGCAAAGGGAAGCCAACAGGATCTCGTGGATTGAAAGCACAGAATCCCAAACGTTACAGGATATCAGTTCACATACAACTTAGACATTTGCATCAATTATCAATGTTTCTATCCATGATGTTTCGAGGGGGGCTCCTTCCTTAGAGAAACAGCTGACTTGGGCAAAGCTGCTCTCAAAACTACTGAAACTACATGGGTTTTGTCTTGATTTTTTTCCGAAAAGAGTAATTGGTATAAATTTCATCTCTATATCCCATCACTCTATAGGAAACAGAAAAGATGGAGCACAAAAAGCTATATTTACAAATAGTCCCATGAATAAAACACATCAAGATACTCTGCTTTTTTTGCTAGTCCTTCCATTCACTAAGACTGTGATTAATGAGGGCTGCCTTTTTTTTTTTTTTTTTTTTGAATTGGTAACAATATTTATAGAAAGTAAACCCTTGAAAATGCAAATTCCTTTTTTCCTTCTTCAAATAGCATTGCAAAAGGTTCTGCATCATCTGAAGACTCTCCGGCATTTCCAGACTGAGGAGCTGGTCCATGTTATTTGTGACTTGCAGGACTTTTATTTTTACCATGAACACACTTTACTGTCTTTCTTGCTCATTCGAAATATGTATTTTTTCCCAACTACCGCCATTCTTCAGTATAAAATTATAGCCTTTGCCTACATCTTTCCTATAATCCCTGTATCGAAAGCAGAACGGTTAGGCAGCTGATGAAACTCAGAAGACAGAAAAATGGTTAAACTCACCTTTCTCCCCCCTTATTCCATCAGATAGATAATTCAAAAATACACATATAGCTAAGACAGAAACTAATACATCAAGACAGACCCTCCTGGTGCACTTAATCACTCGGCTGTAAATTGCTCTGCCAAGGCCAAATCCAGGGGCAAAGCACCTTGCTCCACGGGATGGTGCTGAGTACCGGGTACTGCTTTATTCTCCCGTCTGTTTGTACTTTGGGAAACGACATCGGAGCAGAGGCAGTGGGTGGAGGGATGCTCCAGTTCCCAAATTGCACCTGGCAGGTATCTCTGGCCCTTCTAATTTATTGATTAGGGGTGTCAAAGATTGCATTTTTAGGCCTTCAGACGAAGGTATTGCACAGTGCTCCGCAGTAATTATGGAGCACCACTAATTGCACATTAGAGATCAGCAAATGCATCAAAAGGAGGATTCCAATGCAAGCTCCAAACAAAGATGATGGATAATGAGAAGATTTTAATTAAACTCGGCCAACGCACAGTTTCCCGCGCTCTCTGGCAAGATTTTCTTGGAGGAAGAGGTTCATCTGAATCTGCAGTCCCAGATGAACTGTTGCAAAACGCTCCTGAGTAAATGGGAAAGGAGAGTTAGAGCAAAGGAAGGCGGGTTTCCGGGGTCAAAAGTGGAGAGTGGGGAGAAATAAGTGCAAATACTTCATGACTCCAGCAGAGAAGCCCAATGGACTCAATCGCTCTGATGCTCCTTCTGCCCAGGTAAGTCGCATTAATGCAGCTATATCTGACATTTGACTCGAGCGTAAGTTTTCCCCATCAATGAGATTACGAGGCCATGTTGAGTTATTCTGTCCCTCTGGGTACATCCTGAATCACCACTGCACTGCCGGCTGGTTTCCACTACAAAGAGTTAATGCAACCAGGTAGAACCAGGAGGTCTCATATTGAGAGACATGGGACGCTCGTCCCAAATCGTGTCTGGCGATCTACAAACTGTGGCTTTTCACCACCAAATTGCTAAAACAGGTACTGCAGTAGCATTTCTTTTTAAAGAAGTGATGCTAGGGTGCCAGAGCCCTGGCACAGTCTGTCCAGAGAGGTTATGGAGGCCCCTTCTCTGGAGATCTCCAACCCACCTGGATGCCACCCTGTGCCCCGTGCTCTGGGTGTCCCCGCACTCAGAGGCGGGGTTGGGGTAGATGATCTCTAGAGGCCCCTTCCAACCCCAACCCTTCTGTGAGCCTGTGAAGCCGTTTGCCCCTACTGAAGCGCTGCTCTCAGCAATGCCAGTTGCATTCGCGTTACACGAGGTGGCAACACAGCAGCGTAGACTCGACTCAACCAAGTGGTAGTAAGTCCAAGACATCTCCTAATCATTTTTCCCGCAAAACCCCCATCACGGGTGTCTTATTAAGTGAGGACTCAGTTGCTGGCTGAGGATGTGTGTTGCGGTTTATTTTTTTCATCTGACATAACTGAGCATGTTCCTCTGCCCTCCCCTGCAAAAATATCTCAGTCCCCTTTTGAAGGCTCCTAACTTCTTGGTCTTAGAAAGACCTTGCAACAAGGATGAATCGTGCATTGTGCAAGTCTTCCATTGTATCAGCGTTTTCCTCTTTGAAATTCGAATCACGTCCATATCATTTCTATTATGAAAAGTGCAGATATTCTAATACGCTATCTTTAAACAAGCCATTATTTTCCGGAATATTTATTATGGAAATTCTAGTCTTTTTAGTTCTAGTCTTTTTAAATTTCTGCTATCCAGAAAGTTTTCTAGGGTTTTAATTAAACTTCCCTTGTGCAACACAAATCTCGCAAAGTATTTAAGAAACTGTATCTCAGGTGACATTAAGTGATTGGACAACATATGAAATAGTTCCTTAAAGCAGTCTGTAAAGAATCTATCCAGAATGATTTGAAACCTCTCCCAAAATGCCTTCATGTAGCGTTTTAAGATTAATCGGAAGCGTTGGCAGGTCTTGACATGTGTTGGCAAGACTAAGAGATGCCCAAGGAGGGTCTAATGCAAGGCAGAAGCTTAAAACCGGGCTGCTCAAACAACTTTTTAATGCAGCCAACACTGAGAAGTCTTCACTGCAGGTGAACCTCTAAGGAGGAGGAGCAAAATGCTTGGAATTACTAGAAGAAGGGGAAAAAAATAGGAGAAAACCACCCAAACTTCCCACAGCATGTGAGATTCAGCCAGGCAAGCATCATCTCATTGGCATGCCATGAATGTGAAACCATTAAGAGAACTCAGGTTTCTTAAGAGTAATGAGCAAAGTAATACATTCCCATTTGAAAGGGAACTGCAAATTGGTTCCAGCTCATTCCCTACCAGGCCCCCCAAGAACAACAACAAAAAGATCAATATAACTAATTAAATGAAGTATCTTAAGGCTGCCCATTTGGAAGGGAATCAAATGACGAACTAAGCCCAAGGCATCATTTAAAAGCAATGGGGGGAAAAAAAGAGAGATGAGGCACCTCGGATGGACGTTGCAGCAGGGAAACCAATGTCCTACAAACCTGTGTCGCAGATGCAGGATTTGGAGCTGGTGCCCTGCTAGACAGACCTGAGACACATCCTCCAAGCATAAGCCTCTCGGTTTCTTAAAATCATAAAAACTTCCCAAAATTCTGCCTGGAGAATCTCTCTTTGACTTCCTATCTCAACACTGCAGCCCCAAAAAAAACCATCTTGGGATGCACTTGGCCAAGTGGTAGAACAGCAAATGCAACGAGCAGGCAGGCAACTGAAACTCAAGAGGTTAGAAACTAGTGTTAATTTTTAGGGTGAGTTGCTCAGTCCGGAATTAGTTTGATCATCCTTAGGGTGCAAAAGATTGAGTAAAGCATTAAAGGCGGCCCTGAAAAACAGGTAGAATTTGCTCACATTTTCTATTTGGAGGTTTGAAAACTACTGTTTTTTTCTGCCTTTGCTTTCTTCTCCCCATCTCTAGGTGCTATTTGGGCCCTTTTAATGGAAGAAGGAGAGTGTGTATGGCCAGCTTTCCCCTAAAGCTCCCTCAACCAGAGCGAGCAGCGTGAAGCCACGTGGAAATCCATTTACACAGCCGGACGCCTTCCCTCCGAATGCTGCCGCTGCGGGGTGCTTTTCTTCATGAATAATAACAGCGTGAATTGAGAAGTGCTATCCATGCCTTCCATACGTATGACTAATTGGCCACAGACACTTCCTTGACGAGACGCTTTTATTGATTAAAAAGAAAAAAAAAATCTAAATCTGCAAAAGTTTATGAAAGTATAGATTTTTTTTCCTTCATCTAACAAGTACTGAAAAATCAGTGTATTACCTTTCCTAGCTCTGCTGTGCATAAAAACTCTTTACGACGCCTGTATGTGGATTTTGCTGCAGGAACTAATGGGATCCCACGGGTCCCAGTCACGTTTCTCTGCATCTTCTCTTCTAATACCGTCACTCCTGGGATGTATCATAAAGTTAAGATCTGCAGAGCAAAATCCATACCAGATTTGGGTTCAAATTCTGCAAGAGGAGGGTGACGCTGCTACATCTTCAAGCTATTTCTCGGCCATGTGATTTATAGGAGAATTTTTCTCATATATTCTTGCTTTCTGTGCGCAGATCAAGCCCGTGTGTGTTGCATATATTTTTCTTAGGAGCACTGTAGCTGTGCACTGGGGGTTTTATTAACAAAAATTTAAACCCACACCTGTTATAATCATGTAAAAACATAAATACCA